CTGGATCAATAGCATTAGGATTAAGAGGCCAAATCCCCGTAGCTCTAAAAGCATTAATAATTGTTTCAGGTATGTAGGTTTTTGTATATGCTTGTTCAAATATTTTGGCGAATGTGTGTTTTGTTACTAGCTCACCATTGTCATCATAAATTTTGTTGCAAGCATTGCTGTATTCCGTTTTAAGCTTAGAAAAGGGAAGCTCAGAAGGTTGAAGAATGTGTGTAGTGTGGGGTGGAAGTGTATATAGCAAAATGCCATTTTTGTTACAAAAGTTAATATATGTATAGTTTATGTGACTTTTGTGACTGTCAAGAATTAGAAAAACTGGACGACAAGAAGGAATAGAACTGATGAAATGTTCGATATACATTTGAAATAGTTTTTCTTTCATATATTCTGTATCGGTAAAACCCATTACAGTGCCAGCAGGGGCACTATTTAACAAATTAGGAATTGCGCGAATACCCTTGTAAATAATTAATGAGGGGTATAGTTTCCAGCAGCCAAAATCGTAGGGACAACAGAAATATGTTCATGTGTGTTGCCATAGGAAACTTTATGGACTTGACGGGAGCCTTTCTTAGCAAGAACTTTTTGGACTTTTGGAGTTATAACAAAACCGGTTTCGTCCATATTCCAAATTCTATCAGGAGTAAGTAAATTTTCTTGAATTATTTTATTGAGTTTGTCAAAATGGTCTTTAATTATAGTCAGATTAGCTCTTTGTGCATGTGTCTCTGATAGAGTCTGAGATGTACGAAAAGACAAATCGAGATGGTCTCTCATAAAACGTGATCATCAGGCCTTACCAGGCTTATCATCCTTAAAAGGATGATTACGGTTGTTACTTTTTATAATAGTCATCACGCAGTGGTTTACACCAGATTGTGTAAGGCCAAATCCTAACTTCTGCATATTCTTACAATAGCCTACTAATTGTTCTTCTTCATGGGCACTTAAGGGCCAGGATGATTGAGCAAGCCATTCTTTTTAGTGCATCTTAAAGTTGTTGTAGCAACATTAAATCTTAATGTAGCTGCTCGAATACTAGGCTTTTCAGGGCTAGCAAGTGTCTTAAGAGCAGACTCAATGGCTTTTACATAAGTAGTTTGGGTTTTTTGAGGGGTTGATTTAGTTATAGTAGGTTTGTTATGATTTTAGACTTGAGAGTACTGTGTTTATCTACTTTTTCTAGGTATATATAATCTTTAAGTATTATATACTATACAAAATTTTAATATATATAAAATACTTTTTAATTCTAACTTCTAATCTAATACTAACTCTAATATTAAATATATTTTTTTTTATAAAATTATATATTATACAGATTTGCAAATTAATTAATTAATACTTATATTATACACTAGTATAGGTTTAAAAATTTTCAAAATTTTAATATTGTAGCTTAATATTATATCTATCTATAGTAAAAATTTTAGCAAAAAATTATAACTAGATATTAATATATAATTATAATTTTTTATATTTTTAAATATTATTTATTATAATATAAAATAAGAAATTTGATTGGTTAATTATCTATCACAAAGAAACAGAAATTATATAATTACTGCACTTTTTAAACAAAAAAATTAATATTTTAAAGTTAAATAAATTTATTTATTATAACTAAATTATTAAAAAATTGTTTAATATTCTGTAAAATAAAAAATTTTAATAATTTATATATATTCTTATATTTTAAACATTGTTTTTTATTTGATTAACCAATCAAAATTTGTAATTTTAGATACTATATACCAAAACAAATAATACTACTTATTTAGTACACTTGCTATAATCGAAATATCTACAATATTTATGAAACCAATAGACCGAATCAATAAAACTTACCACAAAAACCGATATTATATTATAACACAGCATAGAATAAATAACTAACTTTGCTCAAAGCTTAAAAATAGACTCTGGTTTTAGAGTAATTTAATATAATAGACACTAATTAAAATCTCGAAATAATAAATTAAAGCTCAGTCTACATAACGATAAATTCTCTCGGCAATTAAACTCGAAATAGGAATTTTATTAATAGACACTATAAAAAGAGAAGTTAATTACGCTACGTATTGTATATTACCAATTTGTATATAAAAGTCTAATTTCTTAATTAACTAAATTAAACAAGATACACATGCAGTACATACGTACTAACGTTAAAACTCCTACCGACATAAATATAGCTATATATGTATATATTTATAATAATTTAGTGAAAACTGTAAGGTAAAATCTCAACAAAAAAGACATTCAATCCACCCAACTTGTTTCACGAATTCAATATAAGTTTACATTTAAGTGGCAAAACAGATCTAATCAGTAAAGCCAAAAATTTAATTTTAGTAAACAATCTGATTCGATTAACTTTAATGATTCTTAGACGAAAGAAAATATATCATTGATCTGAAATTATGGGAACTCACGTGACAAGTGCTAAGAATCAATGAAATGCAGCACAATAACGATAATGGATAAGATTTGCTATTATTCAGACATATATATATTAAAAAAAGAAAAAAAAACAATACATTGCATAAATGCGTAATTACTAATAGGATAAGAAGAATAGGTCCTTGTTTCGATATGTCTTATTCATGAGAGCACGAATGAATTAATAGAGAAAATATAAAATAATATGAAATGCATGCGATCTTGAAATATTCATCTTTTTTTGATGTTCCGTAAATAACGTTATGTTTTTCTGATTGCAACGTAACTGCCACATGATCAATATTCTATACTAATATCAGATATTGTTAGTTTTAAAAATTTTTGATCGTAAATAAATAAATAAATACAGAAATAAATAAATAAATAAATATTTTATATTTATCTTATTGAAATTTTTACTATAACAGATAGTTACTATAAATAGATTTAAGCATCAAGAGAAAAATTGACAATAATTAGTATGATCCTAAAAAGGACTAAACAAGAATTTAATAATGAACTACTATCTATTTATAGTTACTATTTTTAGTATTTTTAGGTTGTGACAAATGGAGCATTAGAGCTTGGGAGCCGGCTTCGATCTGGTAAGTTATTTATGATATGACAATTATAATTCAAACAGGTGTAAACCAGTGTAAACCTAAGGCTCGGCAAAATCATCACTGTTGTGCGAACAACTGAACAAATCAGATAAGGTTAGTTTATTTGGGACCATGTTTTAATTTTGTTCAGCCTATATGATAAAACAGGTTCATTATTTACCGATTATTTTTTGCAGTTTGATTTATTTTTGGTTCCAGCATTAAACTAACACTAACAGTCTCTTTTTTTTTTTTTTTCCCCTATTACCATACCTGATACTACTATACGTATATGTAAGTATATAAATTCATACGTTTATGTAACATCTCATACTCTATCATATTATATACTGTACTATACCGAATTAAAGTATGCTACCCGGGTCGTACAGCATCAAATTCATCAAATTCATGTATATCTAACTATATAATATATAATAATAAATATATAATCTGAAATTTACATGTATTAAGTTTTATTACTTGCGCATTACTCAAACAAAACCTATTGCTCGATTCTTCCCCCCACCCCCTTTCTCTCACTTTATACTTTAGTGATATTTAAAAAAAAAAAAGAAGGGTTTCGTTTAAAATCTTTAAAGTTAGTTGGATAGAAAACGGCAAAAGTCCGTTGAATTTCAAGTCTATCTGAGGAAAAGAACGAAAAACACCCTAAAAATAAGAAAAAAAGTATTTAACCACCATTTCGCAGGTCGCAGTATTTACCTTGGTGGGGTGTCATTGTTTATAAATACTGCTTGATCAAAATGGGAAAGACAAAAAAAGGTCATTCCTCCAACTCCCCGGCGGATGACAGGGTTGACTTGGTTCAACTTTTACCAACTAACAATGCTCCTCCTTCAGAAGAGGAAATAATTTCCCTCCTTTCCGCACGTTTTAAAGCTGACCTACCTTATACTCGTATTAATGCTTCCTCTCTTGTGGTGATAAATCCTAATAAACCTTTGGAATCCATGAACGACGCTTCGGCTAAAGAATATGCCGAACAATGGTACAGGAACACAAATGGTGAAAAGATAACTTTACAACCACATATTTATGAATTAGCTGCCAAAGTTTATTTTCATATGAGAAGGTCCGCTGAGGATCAATGTGTAATTTTCAGGTTAGTCTATATTATCTCTTTTATGAAAAAAAAAATATTTACTTTTTCATATGAACTTTTATTTGGCTAAACGCGTTTATACTTATTTTATTTTATTAATTAAATTGAATTATACTTCAATATTTACGCGTTAATCCGGTTTTACGTAATTTTACTTTAGTGGAATTGATGGTTCAGGAAAGACTGAAACTGAAAGTCATCTCTTATCACAACTTTTATTACTTTCAACTCATACTAAAAAAGAGGCAAAGATTGCTAATCAAATTCAAAACGCTCAAACTGTTCTACAAGCCTTTGGTAATGCAAAAACAATACATAATATTAATGCTTCACGTTTTGGAAAGTATTTAGAATTACAATTTAACGAAAGAGGTAGAATTGTTGGTGCTAAATTTTTAACCTACTGTTTCGATAAAGCAAGAGTAACTGATACTCCTATCGGTGAAAGATCTTATCACGTATTTTATTATTTATTGGCTGGTGCTACTCCTGAGGAGCGTTCCTTAATGCATCTTCAGGACCCTCAAAATTATCTTTATTTATCTAAATCAAAATGTTTTAAGATTACTGGTATGGATGATAATTTACAAATGGATGATTTACGTGCTTCTCTTAAAACTCTCGGTTTCAAATCAAAAACTGTTGCTCAAATTTGGCAAATATTAACTGCTATTTTATTATTGGGTAATATCGAATTTCTCAGTCCCGGTAAACAAAAAGATGAGGCTGCTACAATTAAGAATCGTCATGTTTTAGAATTGGCTGCTCAGTATTTAGGTGTACCGGCTTTCAAATTAGAACAAACTTTAACTTTCAAAAATAAATTAATTGGTAAAGAATTATGTACCGTCTTCTTAGATGCCGAAGCTGCTGCTGAACAAAGAGATTCTTTAGCTCAAGTTTTATACTCTATATTATTTACTTGGATCGTTGAACATATTAATTCAAAACTTATTCAATCTGATGAACCTCCTAATTTTATCGGTTTATTAGATCAACCTGGTTATCAAAACTTTGAGAAAAATAGTTTTGAGCAATTTTGTCTTAATTTTGCTACTGAAGAAATTGAGAATTATATCCTAAAAAGACTTTTCGATGATACTTTTGGTACTAATTCTGAAATTACAAATGATAATATTTCTTTACCAAATGTTTCCACAACATATAATAATAATTGTGTTGAATTATTAAGGGGTAATAATTCTGAAGGAAAACCTCGTAGTTTTATTTCAATCTTGGATTCTGAAAGTGCAAAATTTCAAAATGCTACTGAAACTGGTGGTGATTCAACACTTCTTTCTACATTGAAACAGGCCTTTTCTAGTCATCATTCTTTTGTCTCAAATCCTCCTAGTTCCAGATCTTCTACAAAAACTGGTGTATTTGGAATAAATCATTTTGCTGGCACAGTTGTTTACGAAGTTGATAAATTTATTGAGAAAAACATTGACAACTTGTCACCTGATGTTATTAGCTTATTCAAAGAGACGAATAATACATTTATTAGAAAGTTATTTTCAGGTCCTGCTTTAGCAATTGAAAATCATCCAAAGAACGAAAAAACTGTTGTTGCCGCTCAATTACCTACTAAACCTATGCGCGCTCCAAGTATGAAGAGATCAAAAAGAAATCAGTCCTCTGAAGTAACGAATGAAAAAGAATCAAAAAAGAAACAAATGGCTCATGTCTCAACTGTTGCTACTCAACTTTATGGTACATTGAATCAATTGATAGATACTTTAAATTCTACTCGAATGTGGAATGTTTTCCAAATTCGTCCGAACGATAATAATGATCCGAATGCTTTTGATTCTAAACGAGTAAAATCTCAAATTCATAGTTTCTTGATACCTGAAATTACTGCTCGTAAAAAAGTAGAATATGCCATGAGCTATACTTTTGCTGATTTCTTGGATCGTTATAGATCAATCATCCAACCTCATAATCTGGAATCTTCTCGAAATCTTCGTCAAAAAGTTGAAGAATTTGCTTTAAATAGTGGATGGTCGGAAGGTAGTTACGCTATTGGTCATCAAAACGTGTTCTTATCCGATTCTATTTGGAAATCTATGGAGGATATTCTAAAAACTGCTGAAAAAGATGAAAGAGCAAAGGCTAAACAATTTAAAGATGATGATAGTGTGGCAGGTGGAATTCCTTTAGATAGTGGTCGAAACCCACATTTACTTAGTGCTACGAGTTCAATGGATCGGTTAATACCGAGGAGTGGTTTCGCTTATGCTGGTAGTGAAGTAGGTTATTATGATGAGTCTTACGCAGAAAGTGAGGAAGATTATCAATATTCTAAGAATAGTGGTATGGCAGAAGATGAAGAAGGTAGTATGTGGGGTAGTGAATGGGAAGGGAAAAGTGGTGATGGGTAAGTAAAATTTTTTTGAATATTTTAATATATATATATGTATATATATAGCGATAGAATCTTTTCTTACTAATAAACTATGTTTTTAATGTGGTAGGCATTTTCCTGCTAGTGACCAAGCCAAAGAAGGGGAAAAAAATGCAGGGAATGAAAAAGGTGAAGAAATCGAAGAATTACCTGTTACCATGACTCGTAGATATTGGGTTGCATTCGTATGGTTAATTACTTGGTGGATTCCTTCATTCTTATTAAAATGGGTCGGAAAAATGAAACGTCCTGACGTACAAATGGCTTGGCGTGAAAAATTCGCACTTTGTTTTATAATATTCCTACTCTCTGCCTTCATCGTCTTTTATATTGTTTTCTTTGGTGATCTTATTTGTCCTGGTAAAGACAAAATATATAGTTCAGACGAAGTTGCTTTCCACAAAGGTGATAAAGACTTTTGGGTCAGTGTGAGGGGTGTTGTATATGATCTCAGTACATTCCATTTGACGAATCATGCTCCAAGTGGTGCACCACCTGCTGACGCACAAGCCATGGAACCTTATGCTGGTTTGGACGTTACTTCTTCAATTCCAGTTCCATTATCTCAACCAGAAACGTGTGGTGACATGGTTACCAATGATCAAGTCTCTATTTCACATAAAAATCTTTCGGATCCGACTACCGGTTTTATGTTTATCCACACTACAGGTTCACAATCACCTTATCCTACCACAAAACTTTCTGATACAAGATGGTATTTTGATTATTTCCTTACTACCATGCGATTATATGTGAAAGCCGATCTTGTCTGGAATCAACAACAATTTCAAAATTTAATTTCGAATGGTCGTACAGTAGTCATCATTAAAGATAAAATTTATGATTTTACCGATTATTTTGGTACCCAGGTAGATCAACAACAACCTTCAAAACCTGATGCTAGCGTGACACAACCTGCCGGTTTTATCGATTGGCATTGGTTAGATTTACCGGGACAAAATATAATCGAGCAATTAATTAAAACAATGAATGGAAAAGATATTACAACCAATTTATATAGTGGTTCACTCGATAGTACTAGATTAAATTCATTGATGAGATGTTTAAATTCAGTTTTTTATATCGGTAAAGTGGACTTTCGGTCATCTTTTCGATGTCAATTCAACAACTACGTTTTGTTAGCTGCCGCTATCGTAATGTGTTCTGTTATTCTCGTAAAATTCTTGGCAGCTTTACAATTGGGTGCGAGACGTAAACCCGAAGATCATGATAAATTTGTTATCTGTCAAGTGCCTTGTTATACTGAAGGAGAAGATTCACTTAAGCGTACGATGGACTCATTGGCCGCTTTAACGTATGATGACAAAAGAAAATTACTTTTCTTCATTGCAGATGGTATGATCGTTGGTTCTGGTAATGATAGACCGACGCCAAGAATTGTTTTAGATATCCTTGGTGTTGATCCTAAAATAGATCCAGAGCCTTTAGCATTTAAGTCTATTGGTGAAGCATCTCAACAATTGAATTATGGAAAAGTTTATTCCGGTCTTTATGAATATGAAGGACATGTTGTACCTTATATAGTAGTCGTCAAAGTTGGAAAACCATCTGAGAAAAGCAGACCTGGTAATCGCGGAAAACGTGACTCCAAAATCATACTTATGAGATTCTTGAATAGAGTTCATTTTGAACTTGAAATGTCACCACTTGAATTGGAAATTTATCATCAAATGAAAAATGTAATAGGTGTAAATCCAAGCTTTTATGAATATGTTCTTATGGTTGATGCTGATACTGAAGTTATGCCGGATTCATTAAATCGTATGATTTCTTGCATGCTTCACGACGGTCGTATAATTGGTATTTGTGGTGAAACAACTTTAGTTAACGAGGAAGGTTCGTGGACAACTATGATTCAAGTTTACGAATATTACATCTCTCATCATCTTGCTAAAGCATTCGAGTCACTTTTTGGATCTGTTACTTGTTTACCTGGTTGTTTCTGCATGTATCGCATTCGCACTCCTGTAAAGAATAATCCTTTGATCATATCTAGTGCCGTCATTGATGAATATTCAGAAAATCATGTTGATACTCTACACAAAAAGAATTTATTGTCACTTGGAGAAGATCGTTATCTTACCACGTTAATGATGAAACATTTCCCTCAGTATAAGATGACTTTTACACCAGATGCTATGTGCAAAACTGCTGCACCTGATCGATGGTCTGTTTTACTCTCACAACGTCGTCGTTGGATTAATTCTACTATTCATAATCTTATGGAGCTTATGTTCTTGCCGGAAATGTGTGGTTTTTGTTGTTTCTCAATGAGATTTGTGGTCTTTATCGATCTTTTCGGTACACTTATTCTTCCATCCACCACAGTATATATTATCTATCTTATCTATGCTGTTGCTACTAGACGTCAAGATTTACCAAAAATTTCACTGATTATGTTGTCTGCAGTTTATGGTTTACAAGCAATTATTTTCATTCTTAAAAGACAATGGCAGCACATTGGTTGGATGATAATCTACTTAATGGCGTTTCCTCTATTCTCTTTCTTCATTCCGATTTATGCATTTTGGCATTTTGATGATTTCAGTTGGGGTAATACTCGTGTAGTGGTTGGTGAAAAAGGTAAAAAACAAATCATTACAACGGATGAAGAAAAATTTGATGAAAGTATGGTACCAAAGAAGAAATGGGCAGATTATGAACAAGAAATGTGGGAAGTTGGAACATCTGATTCACATAGTTCTGGAAGATCAAAAAATAGTGCAACATCATATAGAAGCCATGGCAGTCAAAGAAATTATGAAAATGGTAGTCAATATGGCGGTAGCAATTATGATGGAGATTACTATCGCGACACCAATTTAACAGCGCCGTCGCCTGTAGATCGACGTGGTAGATCAAGATCACCTGTTCCAAGATATGCTCCATCCGATGGTCGAAATTCAAGATCTTTCAGCGCAGCAGGAGAACATGATTATAGAAATTCAATCATATCAATGCCGAGAAGTAATTCAGAAATGGAAATTTATCCACCACAAGGACCTACAGGCTCATATGCAGGCTCACATACTTATGAAGGGCCGACAGATGAAGAAATTCTAATGGAAATTCGAAATATTTTGCAATCTGCCAATTTAATGAATATTACAAAGAAACAAGGTATGCTTTAGTCATTTTAATTTATCTTTTGGTAAAGCATCAATTCTAATTATAATTTATTTATATATATATAGTTCGAGAACAACTTTCAATAGCTTTTGGTATAGATATGGCATATCGGAAAGAATTTATTAACAATAGTATAGAATTGATTTTGCAGGGCAAACTTTAAAATTTTCAAAATATCTTTTTTTTCTTTTGTATTTTTTTTTTTTTTTAATCAATGAACAGTGTATTATCAAAAGTTCAATGTTACATTAACTTCATGAGCATTTTACTTTATTTACTATTAATTACCGTATTATATACACACATTAGTGTGAAAAAACCATTGGCTCTTATTTTTTGTAATGAACGATGGTAAAAATTTTTTATTAGCTTTATAATTATTATTATTGCCTTTTTTTTAGTATGAGTTGAAAGTAATAAAAGTTGTGATAAGAGATGACTTTCAGTTTCAGTCTTTCCTGAACCATCA